AGAGAATAAATCGCAAAATGCTACACTGGCAGTTCTTCTGCTTTTATAGAGTTCACTAGCGATTTCGTTCGTAACAGGCAAGGACATCGTTGGTTCTAAGCCTTTTTGTAGGCTAACTCTGGATGATCAGTCAAATCCCTGAGATTCTGAAAAACTAAGTTTTCTAAGCATTTAATGAGAGCGACAGTTAAGGCTATGCTATGGAATGAATTAACAGGTTTATTGCTGCCAATCGTACATTTTCTGGCACAGGAACGATCACACTAAAAATAAGTGTATTGCGCAAGCAGCTGTATAAAAGCTGTAAAAATATGGCACAGTTCAAGTGAACAGAGTTTGGATATATGCAAGTTGACTCTGTGTGTACTGGAAAGGAGACGTTCGAAACTAGATCGTAGTCGCTATGCTGAACCAACCAGATCACTCTTCGTCTGTCAGTAGAAGAGTGAATCGCCTAAGATCGACTTGTCCCTTTCGAAGCAGAAGAGATGTCGGTTGAGCTGATTAAAGTCAGGGATATTTAGAGGACCAATCGATACATACATGTATACATACCCCCTAAAATACCCTTTCGGGTTGTTTTCCCCAAAGCAGTACTTCACATAAGAGTTTATTCTGCCGCCGAATCTCTTCTGTGCGATGGAGACTCATATTTCCACTTGTATAGGCTTGCTCGTTTGGAGGCGGAATCGCTGCCATGTTTCAAACCACCTGACAATCATTCAAAACTGTTTTTAGGACACTGCTGTCAAGGTTAAAAACAAAGTGGAAAAAGCAAAGAAACCGTTGTAGCTTTTGGATGTTGACTTCTCGAATGTCCGGAGAAGAAAGGTTCGATGGGGTGAAAAACCTGATTTTCGTTAATCAGTGATGCGGAAATTGGGCAATATTTGTAAATTGCAGTGATTCGAAAACCGAAAACGAGTCATCTTCAGCGCGGTCAACAAGCACCAGGTCCAGGGTAGCCATACAGCGTGTATGAAACAATGTTTAAAAGGGCGAGCTGTCCGAGAAACTGCAGACTATTACGATTAAAACTACCAGCCAGGATGGCTAAATTTATCTGTACAGCGGACGAGAGAAATGAGGAAAAAGACATTTTGAACTCATCAAGTTCGTCGAGAGTACAGTCGGGTGAAAAACAGACGCTTCCAACCATCAGAAACCAGTACAGAGATATGAATCTTTGCAGGCAGTGAACATAATACATTAATACAGTTAATTAATTAATTAATACATTAATACGGTTAATTCGGTTAGAGTGAAAGACAGTTCGCTGCTAGCTTGGCGCAGCAGTTCAGCAGTCGTACACTAGTAGTCGCTCTGCCACAGCGAGATCGGTGGGTAATGATAAATTCAAAATGTCTAAAACCAGCGATCGAAACCAGCGGGTCGTCAATTTCATCTCTCAAAGCCAAGACCCGAGTAACGAAAGGATACAAAGAATATTTGCAAATATAGTACATATAAAGAAATATAAAATTATAAATGTCTGACGTGTAACATAGCCTCGATCTCGTTAAGGTTGTTCTGAATGGAGCGGATGTTAGATAAAATAACGTACGGCACGAAAATTTTCTTAGCGTTGCAAAACTTTCAAGGTGTCCGCCAACCAGCCAGACGACCATGTCTGTACCGAAAATTCCAATTTCTTAAAAGGCACCTTGGTGATCACTGAAGACCACTAATATCATATCGAGGTTCAAGAATGTTCTCACAAAGGCCTGTACATCCGCCATTGAGTTACGTCACAGACACGGAGGAAGTCGAAATTTTGATTTTCCATTATTGTTATTATATTTGTAATTTTAATCATTGTTACACTGGACAATTAGCTATTAGGTTGATGAAGGCGAAATGCAGTTACAGGGGGAAACTGCACTGCAGTGCATGATCATGTACCTCGTCCATCCTAGAATGACAAAAATACCATGTTGCCCCTATTTTTCGCAAGTACAGAACTTACTATCCATTTCTCGGCTGGTTACATCGAAGCAACATGGGATCAATGCCTTTCTCAAGGGAATTCGTGTATTAAACAAAGGCTGTCCCTTCCGCGGATTCGAGCCCGATACCTAGAGTTCAAAGCTGATCTGTTGCTACTGCCCCACCACGACGCTAAGTTCGATATGAAATATTTTAGAAACAAACATATACGTTTTCAATCACTAAAAGCAGGAGAAATGACTGATATTGCACAGAGGCTACCCAATAACTTAGCAGTCAAAGGCGGACGTCCAACGTAAGTACCTAGAGTGGAGAATTGGAGCCAAACGCCAAGCAAAACTGCCAAAACGGCTGCTTCGCTTAACAACAAAACGTTAGGATAACTTTACAGATTAACAGAATTTGCTGTAACTCCAAAATTCCATACAAATAAAAATGCATTTCCACACAGCTAAATATACAATTAACACGGCACTAATAGGCGAGTCAGAATTTGTAGCATAAGTCTACTGTAGCAGTCAATCAGGTAAAGTTAACGTGATTCTTCTCTAATCTTTGCTATAAGAGAATTCAAAGTTGGTCAATTTCGGATTGCAGTTTGCATTATTTTAATGCGCTGTCACCTACGTGATGGAGTTTAATATTACAATTTAAAGTAAACGTGATTAACGAATAATATTTAGCATGAAGTTCAAGCGATGCGTTTCTTTGCCTTCAGAGCTTTCATTGGCGGTCATATTTTAAATCGACGACCAGTAACTTGTTCCCCAGAAGGTTGCACCAAATCATGATTTGGTGAATTCCTTGCTCAGTGGAGTTAGTGTCAGAGAATTTTATTCTTTTTGGGGACCTAAACCCTGTAAAAAACGTAGGCAGTGTGACAGCGCACTGTCACGCTGTTCAATCAGCTTTCAGTGCTTCCCACTGCAGTAACTCAGATGCTGCGTTTCTCTCAAGCTCGAGATAACCGCATATTTGGTTGTTGAGGAAAAAAAGATATCTACAATAATCAGTTCGCTGCAAGGTAACCATATGCATGACCTCTGATTCTAATAATTGTTCATTTACTATAGGTACGAGCTTGAACGTCATCAGGTAACTTGCGGCATCGCGAACTTGGACTCAGGCATCACCCAACCTATACCGCACACATTAACAAACGAACTTTTAAATGTTCAATGCGCAAGTTATTTTTCGTAGTATTCAGCGCTGCCAACAGAAGTTTTTTGATTACGCGTTGTGTCTTTGATTAGAAGGGTCAGCCATCGTTGAGAGATCTTTTTTTGCGAGGGCTGTGAATTTCGTTGCCGCCAGCTAAGGAAATTGCTCGACAATTGGATAACTAGAAATATAACTCGGATATCAAAATTTTCCCAGCGCAAACTGGCTTGGTTTCACTGTAGTTGAAAATTTGAATTTTAATGTATTTGCGAAAAATTTAATCATTGAATAAAACGATGCAACCATTTCCTGAAACGTCTTACTCTCTTAAAAGCTCAGGCACAAGTCTAAATGGTGCCCCTTACGACCGCATTTTACTTTTGGTTGTATGTTCTTCGTCAGTATGTTTCTTTTCCTAGCATAATAGACCCTGAAAATGCCGATCACGTCGATCATCTGTAAAACTTGTTGTATTTGCAGATAAACTGCGCATATCAGACTGCAAAATCGACTATAATCATATAAACTCCATTGTTTCCATTCGATGTCTCATAATCTGTCAAACTTATTTTATCACTGCCACACCTGTACCAAGCTCGTTTAGAATGCATTTCGAAGTTCGATGTTCTTCAATCCTTTACGTTAAGACATGTCTGCATCCAGACTACAACGCAGGTAGCTTAGATTTTGCAAAGTAAGGTGTGGGAAAGCCGGAATCTACTTTAGTTAATCCTGTCCTCATAATCTGTTATTTTAGACATCTGGTGAATCGTTCATCTAAGAAAGGTCATATTTCGTGCAGTTCGACACTGAAGAATTTATTGGCGTTTTATTATAAATAAAGTTGTCAACACAATTGTTTTGCTGGAACACTGCAGTCGATAACGTATAGGATAATAATATTAATATTTGGCAGCTCCTAGAAAATGTCGTCCGAAACTAAATATTTCAACTTTAATGGAGGCCAAAAAATGCGCCGTGTAAAATCGCAATAGGCAGATTTATGTAGAAAATGAACGAATAGAACTATTTCAATGCAGTCCAACCAATTGATATTCCTTTGGAAATAACTAAAATACTGTGTAAATACGATATTAGTCACTCTATCAAAGTGGTCTAC